AGTGTTTCCAATTTAATTTACTAAAGGATCCTATTTTGCTTTCATGCTAATAAATATACTAAAGATTTTTAAATTTAAAATTCCACCTGAAAGCAAGTTTGATGCCAAATCTAACAAAAGCTATAACAGAAATTGTTAGTGAAAAATATAAATACGTATATAAAAGTAGATGTCACTTTGATATGATTCCAAGAAAGATGAAAAACTACATACCCATCGAGGGATATAGATTCCTATCAACATTCAACTTTATGTACACATACATAACACACAGAGTTATCTGCTTCCTTTACGACCAGGGTCTACAAATCTCCTTCTCAAAAAGCACTGGAAGGACTTCCCTGGTGGCGCAGTGGTTGAGAATCCACCCGCCAATGCAGGGGACACGGGTTTGAGCCCTGGTCTGGGAAGATCCCACATGCCACGGAGCAACTAAGCCCATGTGCCACAACTACTGAGCCTGTGCTCTAGAGCCTGCGAGCCACAACTACTGAGCCCGCGTACCACAACTACTGAAGCCCACACGCCTAGGGCCCGTGCTCCGCAAGAGAAGCCACCGCAATGAGAAGCACGTGTGCAACAAAGAGTAGCCCCCGTTCACCCCAGCTAGAGAAAAGCCTGTGCGCAGCAACGAAGACCCAATGCAGCCAAAAATAAATAAATAAAATTAAATTTTAAAAAAGCATAGGGGGGCTTCCCTGGTGGCGCAGTGGTTGAGAGTCCGCTTGCTGATGCAGGGGACACGGGTTCGTGCCCCGGTCCAGGAAGATCCCACATGCCGCGGAGCGGCTGGGCCCGTAAGCCATGGACGCTGAGCCTGCGCGTCCGGAGCCGCAAAAAAAAAAGCATAGGAATATCGAAGATGGAGAAAAAAGGCCTTCCCAACGGTGTGCCACTAAAGGCAATAGAATTCACATACTGTGTTTTCTGGGGCTCTCTCCACCCACTAAAAACAGCTAAAAATAAATGTGGTGAACACACATGACAAGGCAAACAGCAGACCAAGTACTCAAGAATCAACTTGTCCAGATCTTGGTTTCTAAATACCGATCCCCATTAAAATGAACCAAGAGAAATGGCTGATTCCAGAGTTTGCCCAAGTTGAGTCTGGAACATCCCATTATGCCAGAAAGTAGGAAGTGCAGAGAAACTTAGTGGAGTCCTCCTCAATATTACAGGTATTCAGAGCTTCTGCAAAATCTGAGTACAAGTTATGAAGTAAAAGAACTGATAAAAGTTGTTGGCTCAAAGAAATTAAGAGAGAGAGAGATGACTCCCAGGATGTGAAATAGAGGAAGAAGGGAGAAAGTAATCAAGAATGTAGTTTGAAGCATGTCATTTATAATTCCATATACAATCCTCCCACATGAGAGGTACTTAAAGATGTGCCGAATTAAAGATTTGCCAGTGTGAGCATGAATAGGTCCTATCAATTAATACAGACATGGAAAACTAATGATATAGGTTCAGAGGCCCAGAATCTGAAAGAAAAGGCCTAAGACCAATAATGCTTTAAAATAAAAACAAAAAAACAAGACCGTTACTCAAAGTATACTCTTCAGGAAGCTGATCTTGACTGCCCTCACACATTCATCATTACGACACTAATTAGGGTGAGAAGAGCCGACAGGTCTCTTTTGAAACTCTCTTCAAGGCTACTTGAACATGCCTGAATATCATTCACGGATCAACGATTTAGGAGAAGTAAGGTTAAGTCTTTTTAGTGGTTAGTTTTACATATTCCAGTGTAATAAGAATTCTGGTCTAGAAAAGATATACTAAAAGGTATATACATATATATTTGTTTCATTCTGAATTAACTGCAAATTTAAAATGTGTAAGGATGGCATATGGAACACGTGCACACCCTTCACCCAGATTCATCAACTCAACATTTTGCCCAATTCCCTTTATCACTCTCTTTTTCTATTTTTTCCCTAACCCTTTTCAAAGTAAGTCATAGACACATCTTTCAGGATGTGTCTCCTAGGAGCAAAGACATTCACTTACATAATCACAGTACAATGATCAAAATCAGGAAATTTAACACTGATAAAATATAATTATCTAATCTATAGACCTCAAACGTTACCAATTGTCTGAATAAAGTCTTATTTGGCAACTTTTGTTTTTCTGATCTAGGATCTGATCTAAGCTAACACAATGCATTTTGTTATCAGCCGCTTTAGTCTTTAGTTTTTAGTCTCCATTAACCTGGAACAGTTAATTTCTCAGCCTTTGTCTTTGACACTAATATTTTTGAAGAATGTAAGTCAGCTATTTCACGGAATGTCCCTCAGTTGGGGTTTGCCTGATACTTCTGCATGATGAGACTCAACATTATGCATTTTGGGCAGAAATATCACAGAAGTGATATTGTATCCTTAGTGCATCACACCAGCAAGTACAATTTATCAGTAAGTCCCATACATGCAATATTAACTCTGATCACTCGGTTAAGGGGGGGTTTCTCTACTGTGAAGTTACCGTTTCTTGCTTTGTTATCAATAAGTAATTTGCGGAGGGATTCTTTTAGATTATATAAATGTCCTATTCGTCATAAAGCTTCTACTCTCTAGTTTTAACATCCACTGATTATCGTTTGAAACACATTACCATGATGGCTACAAAATGATTTTTCTCTTTCATTCTTACAAACTTATTAGTTGACCGTCCATGGTACACAGAAGCTTCTCCTTACACCCATGTGTTTACTTATGTATTAAGATATGGATTCCTATTTATTAGTTCTATAATCCATTTTATTTTGATGTCAAATAGTTCCAGACACGTTAAGTTAGAACTCCATAAAGCTGATTCCTGTGTTCTTTTGACATGTCCTCACCATTTCTTTGAGTACTTACTTGCTTCCTGGCACAAGATGTCCCAGTTTGTACTTTCCCTGCACCATCCCTGGAATCAGCCATTTCTGCAAGTGCGGGGTTCTTTCAGCAGGAGGTGGTTTTTTAGAAACCAAGATCTGGTCTCAGGGTACACTCATTGCTAATAGCATATCACTGCTTCTAGGCGCTTTTAGCAGACAGATAATAAAAATTATATCCAACTTAAGAAAAACAATATATTTCCCATGACAGCATGTGGCCAAAACATATTTAACAGAAATATTCACTCACACACACACACAAAAGCTGTTTTGTGAAATGCTCTTAACTACTGGTTAACTGTCCCTTTTAAACCTTGTATACATTTTTCTTCTACCACACAGTAAGCTAGTCATACAAATCTTTCAATTTTATGAAAACAAAGCCCACACAAAACAGTAATTTGATCATTTAAGGTGTGGAAGTGAAAGCTGGGAGAACCTATTTTCCAAAAGTAAGAGTAAAGAGGATTTACCAAAGCTCAAGAATAATTAGTATTCGAAAAATAAGAGAACACAGGGAGCTTCAAGGCACTTTTTCCTTCTAGTATTACAAAAAATATGAAAATAGCAAGTTGATGAGAGAGATTACTCTGCTTGGAATACTAACTCCGTTGCCACTCCTTCACTCCCACAAGAACCCCTGGAATACTGAGGGCGTAAGCACCTGTGTGAACACTTGGAGACTTACACATCACTGCTCATCAGAGCCAGACAGGCTGATAATAAGCCAGTCCAGTGGGACAGAATACACCCTAAAATTGTTCTCGTTTTCCTAACTGTTTCTTGGATCATTCAATTTTATCACAGACCCCCTTAAGCAACCATGTAACCTAAGCAGCATTTACTAAACATCTACTAGATGTTCCCCCCCAACACACCTCCTCTTTGACTTTCCAGCAAGTCCTTCAATCCCTCTCCTTTCACTGACTCTATCACCTTTCTTCCTCCTCACCTCACTTCATTCCCGACCCTCTGTAGATCTCACAGTACATCAGTTCAGCCACCCTCTTGGCAGAATCCTTTTTTTTCCTTTTTTTTTTTGTTAATTGGGGTATAGCCATTTTATAATGTTGTATTAGTTTCTACTGTACAGTGGAATTCCCTGTGCAATACAGCAGGTTCTCATTAGTTATCTATTTTATACATATTAGTGTATATATGTCAGTCCCGATATCCCAATTCATCCTACCCTCCTTTTACCCCCTTGGTGTCCATATCTTGGCAGAATCCTTAATCTCAGGCATAACAGAAGCTGTCTACAGCTCTCACATCACTAATTATACTCTCTTATATCTTCAATCTCCCTTTCCTTTAGTTCATAAAGCTCTCATATATCGTGCATGTAAAAAAAAAACTTCACCTTTTTAAAAAAATCCAAGCATCTAGAAGAAAAGCTTTTCCTCCCATTTATTCAACTAACTGCAATCTGGATGTCTTCCTGAATTTTTCCCTCTTCTTCACCCAAATAGTGAATTTGTGATTACTCTTTCCTGTACTCCTCTATTCCTCCTCACTCCATCTGCCTGAGTTCAGCCCGCGTCTGTAACGATACCTAAACCCCAGAATTCTGCTATTGATCTTAAGTGTCCTGCGCTCACACCGTCCATCCTCTGGAGTCCCCGTGCTTCCCTCCTGACTCAGTTCACTCTTACCCATCGAGATCTAGCTCAAAAATCTCCTTGGGGGACTTCCCTGGTGGTCCAGCAGTTAAGACTCTGTGCTTCCAATGCAGGGGATGAGGGTTCAATCCCTGGTCGAGAAACTAAGATCCCACATGCAGCGGGGCCAGAAAAAAACATCTCCTCCTCTGTGAAGTCTTCCTGACCCCCACAAATAGGGTTGGTCAGTTCGTTCTGACACCACTTCATCTATGCATTTATACATCAGATCACACTTTAACATAATTAACTGATAACATGTCTATTTCCCCTTCTAAGCTGTGAGCGCCTTGAAGTCAATGCTTGCTTTTTAACCCATCATTTTATCCTCTATGCCTATCATTCCAACAGGTGCTCAATAAATCCTGGTGAATAAATGAAAATTAAAAGTAGAATAAAGAATGAGATTATAATCTCACGCAAATAACATAAGCTTGAATATTAAAACACGTTCCTACCTGGTAACTAACCGTTTTCCTTCCATTGCTTCCAGTCTGAGGTAAGGTCAGCGGTCCAGATACTATCCAGACGTCCTCAAACCTCTCTGTCAGTTCTCGACAGTACATTTCCATTCTGAGAAACAAAGCAAAAAGATGTGTGATATTCTCACACGTAAATGTAGAAAAAGCAGCAAACCATATCAAGTCCTTAGGAAAGATACCAAGAATATTAGAGAAATCAATGTAAAGAGAATATGGCACAAAACACTATAAGCATATAAGCAATGTTCTTCCCAGTGTGTTTACTGCATGGAAAAACTTTAAAAATACACGCATTTATACAACTACCTACATTTTCCTGTGTGCGCATTCAATGTACAGTTTATAACTGAAATTTTGTTTTGTTTCCTCATATTTTTCTATGCCCTAGTTCTCAAATAAACTTTTTTCAAGAATTACATATCATTTCAAAAAGTTGATATATCGTTTTTATGTAACTACTCCTATTGTAGGACAACTGGGTTTATCCTGACATTTCTTAAATAATGCAACATTGTATTAATTCCTTAGAATAAATTTCAAGGGCCAGAATTACTTTACTGAATAAATATTTTAATGATGCAAGTGGAGAAATACAAGTGGAGAAATACTTTCAATACAAGTGGAGAAAAATACAGTATCCTCTGCCTATAAACATAGTGTTCTACTGTCTCAGTAATAATATTTTTAGTAGTTTCTTCCAGAACTTGACTTCTGACCAGAGGAAACATGACCAAAATGGCTGGCTATGTTCTGAAGTCTATACTTCCAAATCTAGCAAAGAAAACTAGTCCAAAATATTTATCTTCAGTAGTTTTAACATTTGAAAAAACAAAGGCAGAAACAGATGCTAGGCACACATTCTCCTGTCACATCACTCATCTCCCACAGAATCACATTTTAAAAACTCTCACCCCTCACCTGTTCCAATAACCAGCATTATTATCAAAATTCTGAGGCACGATATTAGAAAGGTAAAAGGTTTCAGCCATGGCTTTCTGTGAAAAGAAATAAAATAGTAACTTGCACTGAAATACCTTTCCCTTTGAGAGAGATTTTACAAAGCAGAGATAACCAGCTCCTCTTTCATACCTTAGCTCCAGGCAATTACAGCATCTGTTTAGATAAATGAAAGCCACAGCTACTCCGTGACAAAAAGCTCAATAATGATTATTCAGAATAAGGACTATAACAAAAGAAGTAGTTTGGTGTGCTGCTTTTCTTCACAATTTATGAAATTCAAACCAATAATGTAGACTCTATGACCGAAAAATTTCCAGTATAAAGCTAAAAGGTGAATTCTAGTGCTAAGCCTCTGGCAGAGGGTTTCTCAACAAAGGGCAGCTTTCAGGAGCACAGTAGTATTTAAGTAGTACAGTGCAAACACATTAGTTCAAGAGTGGCACAAAAAAAGTCCTATTCTTCTGAATTTCTAGCCACCATGTGTTCATTCCTCTCACACTTCTGACCTGTAAACCCAAGGCTCTGTCATTGGATTTCCTTTCATTGATCTACACTGCCAAGGCCACCAAATACCCTCTTGTCAAACCGTGGTTCTCAGCCTTGGATGCACATTGAAATAACCTAGGGAGCTTCAAAAATATCGATGCCTAGGTCCCAACCCCTAGAATTTCTGATTTAACTGCTCTGGGTTACAGGTCTGGGCATCAGGATTTTTTAAAACTTCCCAAGGTAGTTACAATGAGTATCCAAGGTTAAGAACCACTATCTTAATGATAATAATCACCAATTCATGCAATAAATGCCAATGTCAGAAAAGACATTTCTCCCCTTTTTTTGGCAGAGAAATTATCCTAAATTAAAGGAGGCTAGAGAGACATGACAACTAAATGTAACATGTGATTCATGATTAGATACTGAATCCAAAAAAAAGTTGTAAAGGACATAATTGGGAAAATTTGGCAAATCTGAATGAGAACTGTATACTGGATATTATTGTACAAATATACAAAAATACACTTGCACACATTTCTTGGTATAATGATACACTTGACACATATTCAAATATCCTCATCTTTAGACAATACAATCTCCCGAGCAATCTACTTAGGTATGAAGTGTTACAATGTCTGCAATTCACTGTCCATGGTTTAAAAAAATGCATATATAAAATATATGTATCAGATAGTACAGTTTTAGCTGTACTATCCTCAACTTTTCTACAAGTCAAAATATTTTTGCTGTGTTCTTTTTTCAACTTTTCTATAGGTCTGAAATTTTTCAAGATAAAAATGAGTGAGTAGCTTTAGCTCCTATTGGCTTTCCAATTCCCTTTTGCATAGCATTTAGTTTTCCTCAACCTGTTTAAAAATGCATCTGAGCAAAGAAAGGAAGTGAAGTCAGGAAGAAAAATACAAAATAGGGTATGAAAATTCTCAAGTGTTAGGGTTTGGCTCCTAGGTTTTTAATTTCCAAGTCCCATGGTACACATAGTACCAGCCCTGTGTTCCCATCCCTCCCAAAAAATATGCCTACAGATGAGAATTTGTTATCTCCTGCTGGAGCCATGTGGCCTCGTGACCACCCACTGCCAACATAGTCCTCGTTGAAGGCACTGAAGGTTGGAGGGATGTTGGGATCTGGCTTGAATTTACAATGTTTTCTGTCTGCATCACCTGAAGAAAAACACACAAAATGGTAAGTTACCAGTGGTCAAATATCCCTCAAGATTCTCTAAGCAAGGCAAGCTGCTTGCTGCTGGCTGGTGTCTCTCTGAGCAGCTGGTACTTAGTGACAGCACGCATGTCTGAAGTCCCTGGGATGGTTCGGCTACCTCACCTGAATTCAGCAAGGACTAGTCCAGGAAAGAATGTTTTTCATACAGTGCAGCTATCTCAGCTCATATGCTTTTGTTTCTGGCCTTTCAAGTTAAAGGGAAAAATCCCTTGGATGGTATCTATGTAAAAGCAATGACCAATCAAATATCTGAGCTGTATAAAAAGCTTAGTTACTAAATACACTCTTGCTTTTTAAAAAAGACCCCCACGGGGACTTCCCTGGAGGTCCAATGGCTAAGACTCCGTGTGGGGTGCGTGGGTGCGATCCCTGCTCAGCAAATTAAGATCCCACATGCCACGTGGCACAGCCACAAAAAAAAAAAAAAGACCCCCATGTATTGTATGTTGTACAACGGTATTTGACAAGTTTATACGTACTGAAATAATGGATATATAGACACAAAACAATTTGTTCTGGGCAGGCACAGCCTAGAGGAGGGAGAGAGTGCCTCTGATATCTTGCTTACTGCCTCTTAAGCCATGACAAAACAAACATTTAGGTTATGAGATCAATCCAGGAACTCCTGACACAAAATATCTGAGCACCACACAGGAGAGACAAAATCTCAATTTTACTTATATTCTGATACCTCCAGAATAGTTTGCCACCGTGGGCATCAGCGAATCCTAACACTATGTTTTCCACTGTCATTAGGACAGGCCTTGTTAAACTACAAAAATTATGAGGACAAATGGAATATACTAAGGCTGCTACTCAAAAAAGTGTAAAACGGGGATTAATGAAGTTACTGATTCTAATGTCATTTCATTCAATCAAGAAAAAAATTAAATTATCAGACCCCAAGGTTCAGAGTAAAGTATCTAATGTCTAGCTTCTTAGAATCACCCCATAAAAAAAATAACTGTAAACAGAATTACTAGTAAACTTCTCTAAGTGTCATTACCATTGGAATCGCTTCCTGGTATGTCTGGTTTTCTTTATCTGGTGCTCACTGCCCTTGAAAAATCATTTGGGGGCGGGGGAGGGGGGGGGACTTCCCTGGTGGTGCAGTGGTTAAGAATCTGCCTGCCAATGCAGGGGACACGGGTTCGAGCCCTGGTCCAGGAAGATCCCACATGCTGCAGAGCAACTAAGTCCGTGCGCCACAACTACTGAGCCTGCGCTCCAGAGCCCGAGAGCCACAACTACTGAGCCCTTGCGCCTAGAGCCCATGCTCCGCAACAAGAGAAGCCATCGCAATGAGAAGCCCGTGCACCGCAACAAAGAGTAGCCCCCGCTCACAACTAGAGAAAGCCCACATGCAGCAACAAAAACGCAACGCAGCCAAAAATAAATTTAAAAAAAGAAAAAGAAAAATCATTTGTGGGAATTTCCAAAATCCTAGGATGAAGATGCCTTCCTGAAGAGAGGATGTAAACTTACTTCTTTCCAGCGTCTGGAGGCATTAGCAGTGGAGGACCACAGTAAAGCAAGCTCAGGGTTTAAGGTTCCTTGATCTGTACAGGTTACACGGCTTTGGGCTACAAGTCTGCGTGACAGCCGGTCCGTGGCCTCAACTTCTCTAGAACAAACTTTTTATTTTCCTTTTTGATCCTTGTCTGCTCAGTGCCAAGGCAACCTTCCGTGTAGTTCCCTATGGTGGGCAGGCAAGTAAGTTCTGGTTCACCCATCCCCGAGGGTGCAGCCCTCTGGGGTTCCAGGTTAATGTGGGAAGGGTCTCCGGTAAGATAATCTACCTTGGCTGAGCCCTAGGTCTTGCCTTCAGTCCCCCTCACCCCATAAGGCTGCAGAACCAAAGGCAATGTGGGTTTGGTTTACCCGGGCCACCCTTACCCCTCTGGATTCTGGCGTTCCCCCAAATATTGGCCTGGCAAAGAAAGCTCTACTATCATGTTGCCTCTTCATGTTTTGTTTGTTTGTTTGTTTTTAAAGCCAGGATCAGAAGCCAGGAATCTGGCTTCTGAGACTTTTTTTTTTTTTTTGGCTGCGCTGGGTCTTCGTTGGGCCACATGGGCTTCTCTCTAGTTGCGGTGTACGGGCTCCAGAGCGCGTGGGCTTAGCCGCCCCGCGGCATGTGGGATCTTAGTTCCCCAACCAGGGATCAAACCCAGGTCCCCTGCATTTGAAGGCAGATTCTTAACCACTGGACCACCAGGGAAGTCCCTCTTCATGGTTTTTTTTTTTAGTGATTTTTTTTATATATACTTTTTATATACTGCTAATAACATTTCTTGTTGTTTTTAGCAGGAGAGTTAATCTAAATAACTTAGTCTGTCATAACTAAAACAGAAGATGCTTTACACTAAAATAAGTAAATCACAGGTACATTGCTTCTTGTTTTCAAACATTAATTAGCTCTATTTTACCTCCTCAAAATTACACAGCTCACGTGACATACAATATGAAACAGTGCTTTTTTTATATGCCTCTGAAAATGATAACTTAACAGCAAGATAAAATTAGTAAAGCTGAAATTCCATCTTGGGAAAACTTTTGTATTTAAAGGAAATTTATCAGGCTTGAGACTAAATCAAGTGAGTTTCTCTTGATGTAAATTCATAATCAATTTCACCTGCTAGGATACAGTTTATGCTTACATCAGTTTCCTTCTAGCAGCAAGCATATTCCAAGCCTCCTGCCATTCTGCTGGTTAATGTGTACTCTATAAAGGCACACACTCATCTTAATATCAGCATTTTAATATATTTAAGCATAGCATGCACTGTAAAGCAATGGAGAAATAATCTGTGGGCCATATAGCAAATTAACAGGCAAATAAGAGAATGGGAATAAAACAACTATGACAAAAAGTAATATCCTTAATATAAAAACGAACTCCTACAAAATTCAAAAAAGAATATCCCTGGGACTTCCCTGGTGGTCCAGTGGGTAAGACTCCGTGCTCCCAATGCAGGCGGCCCGGGTTCGATCCCTGGTCAGGGAACTAGATCCTGCATGCATGCTGCAACTAAGAGTCTGCATGCTGCAACAAAGTCTGCATGCTGCAACTAAGAGCCCACATGCCACAACTAAAGATCCTGCATGCCTCAACTAAGACCCGACGCAGCCAAAGTAAATAAATAAATATTAAAAAAAAGAATATCCCTATTGAAAATCGTAAAGAAAAATTCACAAAGAATAATTCACAAAATATTAACCCTCCCTGGTAATCAATAAACGCAAATAAAATCAACTAATAAATTGGTAAAGCTCAATAATGCTCATTATGTGTGAGGGCTGGGAGAGACAGGACAAATAATGATGGTGGGAGTGTAAATTGGAGTAGGCTACCTAGAAGCTAATCTGACATTGAATAGCAAGATCTGGTCATCTTAATTACAGGAACGCACCAAGAAACTTGAGGACACGTGAACAGGCTCACACACCTGCCTGCCTCTCCAGTCTCATTTCACATCACGTTCTCCCTTGCTCCAGCCACACTGGCCTTCTTTGAGTTCCATAACCGAACCAAACTCTTCACATTGGGGCCTTTAAAGATGCAACTGTGCTTCTCTTTCCCTGCCTGAACGCTCTTCTCCATACCCCCGCTGCCCACCCAACTCCTCTGCCTGAGTGACTGCCATCCACTCTTCAGGCCACTTTCTCAAAGAAGCCTCGCTAATCAGTATCAGGTTCTCCTGTTATAGTCTCCCATCGTATTCTTTACTGTTCCTTAATTATACTATCCCAACTTGCAATCATTTTTCCTTCAGAACAGTTATTGCCAATTGTAATTACACATTTATGATTATTTGATAGGTCCACCCAACCCCCTCCCCAATTCAAAGTACCTTGGGGGTAGAGACCATCTACTCTGGTCACTGATATAACCCCAAGGCTCAGCACAGAGCCATGCACAAGTAGGCACTTAAAAAGCATTTGGGGGCAGGCCCCGGTGCAGACCTGGCCAAGTCCAAGAACCACACCATGCACAACCAGTCCCGAAAGCAGCACAGAAACGGCATCAAGGAACCCCGATCACAACATGAATCTCTTAAGGGGGTGAACCCCAAGTTCCTGAGGAACATGCGCTTTGCCAAGAAGCACAACAAGAAGGGCCTGAAGAAGATGCAGGCCAACAACGCCAAGGCCATAAGTGCACATGCTGAGGCTAGAAAGGCTCTCGTAAAGGGACTTCCCTGGTGGCGCAGAGGTTAAGGATCTGCCTGCCAATGCAGGGGACACGGGTTCGAGCCCGTGTCCGGGAAGATCCCACATGCTGCAGAGCAACTAAGCCCGTGCGCCACAGCTACTGAACCTCTGCTCTGGAGCCCACGAGCCACAAGTACTGAGCCCGCTAGCCTAGAGCCCATGCTCCACAACAAGAGAAGCCACCGCAATGAGTAGCCCCCGCTCGCCGCAACTAAAGAAAGCCTGCGTGCAGCAACAAAGACCCAACACAGCCAAAAAATAATAATAATTTAATTAATTTTAAAAAAAGGCTCTTGTAAAGCCCAAGGAGGTCGAGCCCAAGATCCCAACAGGCGGCAGCCGCAAGCTCAGTCAACTTGCCTACATTGCTCACCCCAAGCTCGGGAAACGTGCTCATGCCTGCATCGCTAACGGTTTCAGGCTCTGCCGGCCAAAGTCCCAGGCCAAGGCTCAAACCAAGGCCAAGGCTGCAGGTGCAGCTGCTGCTCCAGCACCAGCTCAGGCTCCCAAAGGTGCCCAGAACCCCACAAAGGCTCTGGAGTAGAGACCTTTGTCTGCCAATGTGAGGACAGAAGGACTGGTGTGACCCCTGGCTGCTGTCTGCATGGGGCTGGTGTCCTCCTGTGCTATTTGTACAAATAAACCTGAGGCAGGAAAAAAAAAAAAGCATTTGTGGACGTAATGAATGAGTGGTGCTCATTCCAAGAATATTTATGACAAAGGCTCCAATTCATGTGTCAAGATACAGATCCTCTCAACCCCTGAGACAGCCTGGAAGGGTCTAGGGTGCCCTGGCTGCCAGGCAGGGTCCATTTATCTAGTGAGCCAGACAAACACCATCATTTTCTAAATGTGCTGTAAAGTAGAAATGGTTGAAATTATTAATAATCCTCCTTGTTTTAAATTTGGAAACATCTTTCATCAACGCCTTTGCTTCTAACCACCTACCCGTTATCTTGCTCTTGGATATATGTTCAAGAACCCATCTAGGCACCCGCTTTGACTGATCATAAGACAAGGCATGGTTAGTGTAGCACCTCGTCTCTGTTCCAGTTAAAGGGAATCCAAATTGTTCTAAGAGAGCCCTTTCTGAAGAACCTAAAAATGAAAAACAGGGGAAAAAAATAAGTTAGTGACTATTATTAGGAATAAAAAATTATAAGGAAGGGGGTAAGACAAAGGACTGACTCAACAATTTAATCAACCAGGTGATCTCATTTTTGCAATTACTTATAAAGCAAAGAAAAGAGACAGTAGGCAAAATACTGGTTTTGCCTATAATCAATTGTATAGTTCTATGCAGGTAAACTGTAGCTATTTCATTAACTGTTCTTTTTTTAATTTTAAAAAATTTATTTTTCCTATTTATTTTCTAATTTATTTATTTTCTTATTGACTGATTGATTGATTGATGTGTTGGGTCTTCTTTGCTGCCCGCGGGCTTTCTCTAGTTGCGGTGAGGCGCGCAGGCTTCTCAATGAGGTGGCTTCTTTTGTTGCTAGAGCGCAGGCTCAGTAGTTGTGGCGCACAGGCTTAGCTGCCCCGCGGAACATGTGGGATCTTCTTCGACCAGGGCTCAAACCCGTGTCCCCTAGCATTGGCAGGCGGATTCTTAACCACTGTGCCACCAGGGAAGTACCTCATTAACTGTTAAATAAGGACCTGATCTTGCTGGTCTTTCACATCAAATTTTCAAATCTCTGCCCAACAAAGTACAGTGTATACAAAAGCAGCAAAGGAAAAACTCCTGTCATTACTAGTCATTGATATGATTAAATGCGCGACAGCCTACGTACTCATTATGTTCTAAGAGTTAATGTGGGGACAAAAGCACAGCCTTTTAAATTTTTTTAAAAGACCATCGTTCAGGGGCTTCCCTGGTGGTGCAGTGGTTTAGAATCCGCCTGCCAATGCAGGGGACACGGGTTCAAGCCCTGGTCTGGGAAGATCCCACATGCCGTGGAGCAACTAAGCCCGTGCGCCACGGTTGCTGAGCCTGTGACCCGGCGTGCTACAACTACTGAAGCCCATGCACCTAGATCCGGTGCTCTGCAACAACAGAAGCCACTGCAACGAGAAGTCCGTGCACCGCAACGAAGAGTAGCCCCCGCTCGCCGCAACTAGAGAAAGCCCGTGTGGAGGAACGAAGGCCCAATGCAGCCAAAAAAAAAAAAAGACCATCGTTCATTGACACTCTTCCTCAATGTTCTGGTACTGAAGCAGAGATGTGTGCTGCAACAAGACGGTGGTAAAACTGGTATTGCTTCTCCTAGTGGGAGAAACCAAGCACGCACGGAACAGGGAGTCGGTTTCCAAATAATTCTCTCTTGATGCGCTCTCCAGGCTTCAACCCACCAGAGCTGCTCTCTTCCTAAATGCCAAGTATCAGGAGGAGCAAGTTAAATTAGTGTATCCGAGCATGAGTTCATTTACTTTGTCAAATATAAGGTACACCTGGTAACCTGCGGATTTACATACTTTGAAGAAGGGCCAGCAGGTATTCTTCATTTGAACGATGATAAATTGAGAACAGTTAACTGATCTGCTAAAACTATGTGTTCATTCGTTCATTCATCCATACGTACTGGATGCCAATTATGTACCAGGTACCGGGCGGGTGGAGAACAAAACTGACACCGTCCGAGCGCTTATGGAGCTAACAATCTAGGGGAGGACATAGACAATAAAAACACACATGTCGGGGTAGTATATCCCCAGGGGGAAGGAAGTACACGGAGCAGGCAGGTGAGACGCAACGCGGGGAGAGGAAGCCGAGCCGGGAGACTGCACGGCAGACGACCAAGGGCCTGGCGAGTGGAGACAGCGCGCGTCCATGGTTACGGCTCCTGACCGAGGTAGCAGCCCGGGCCCGAGACCTGGGGGCCCACACACTCACCGTCCGGCTCCGTCACCGCCAACGCTGGCTCAGCGTCCTGACTCCGGAGGAACTGCACGACAGTTAGCCCGGTTCCCACAGCGCCCGCGACGGCTCCAGCCACGAAGCCACTCAAAAAGCGTCGGGAGCCTCGGAAGCGGGAGGCAAAAGCTCTGGCCACCATCTTGCCCGAGACGCTAGCTGTTTGCCTTAGCGCATGCGCACTCCAAGTCAGCCGCCTGAAAGCCAATCGCAATCGGGACCAAGACACGCATGCGCTACCTGGAGTCTCTGGCCTTGAGCCTCTCAGGAGACGCCGGAGGGCAGAGCGCAAGCGCGCGCCCCCTGGTGACAAACCTGGAGGCCCAGGAGCGTCCCGGCTCCATCCCTGGTCCCCTGGGCCGGGTGATGGGTGAGAGCATGACGCCTTGAAGGCTCAGTATGTGCACATACAGTCCTGAGAAGAAAATAACTCTTAGTCCCGTTTAATAGGTGAGTAAACCACTTGCGCATGCTTACGCTAAGGTCCTCAGAACCGAGATTCCAACTTAGGTCTGATTCTAAAACCTGTGCCACATTGGATGGCCTCATGACACGTGGCTTTGAAATCGCATGGTACACAAATCGTAACTTCTAAAGATAGCTTTGCATCTCCTAAGGCGTTTCTTGACAAGACAGTACTCCATGGTGGTTTAGGACCCTGAATCAGAGCACAGGGGTTTGGATCCCCACTCAACCACTTTCTACCTGTTTCCTCTTTTTAAAACGGGAATAATAATAGTAATAATAATAATACTTATTAGACCATAGGGTTCTTGTGAGGATTAAAGGAGATTAACCATGTAAAGCATTTAGGGAAGAACCTGGGGCATGTCGTTAAGTGCTGTGTTAATATTAGCAATTTTTATTTAGGCAGCTCTACTTTATCTTTATAGAATATGGAATCCGGATTGCTGAATGCCTGCTGTCAAAGGAAGGTTATATGTTTTATGCACTCCCATTCACAAATAAATAGGTCTTCTTCATTTTGCAGCATAATCTCCAGCATTCCATGTGGATTTAGTTCACTAAGCAGGAGGCCAATTCTAACAACCAACTTAAGTGTAGACGTTGTTTTGGGCTTCCCTGGTGGCGCAGTGGTTGACAGTCCGCCTGCCGATGCAGCGGACACGGGTTCGTGCCCCGGTCCGCGAAGATCCCACATGCCGTGAAGTGGCTGGGCCCGTGAGCCATGGCCGCTGAGCCTGCGCGTCTGGAGCCTGTGCTCCGCAACGGGAGAGGCCACAGCAGTGAGACGCCCGCGTATCGCAAAAAAAAAAAAAAAAAGTATACGTTGTTTTGACAGCTTCATGGCTCCATACGCCCTCCCAGGAATACCTGTCATGAAGTCATTTTGTATAATCCCCAGGGCTTCTGACACTAACTGGTTGAGCTAAGTCAACCAGAGTCTTCCTAAGGATTTTCGATCTGGAACTTTCTCCAGATAGCAAAGCTGTGACATATGGAACTCCCGCTCTGTCTACAGCCTTTTTTCTTGCAAAGTAGACAAAGAGTAGATGCATCTGGTCTTGCACAGAGCACCAGTGGAACAAATGCTGAGACACAGGTGAAGGCGTGCCATGCTGACCCCAGCTTCCGAGGCTCCTGAAGAAGCCCAGACACATCCTGCCCTTTACCCAAGGCTTGGCTGGCCACTTGCCCCAGGATCCTTCCAGCAAAGCCCCCTTTTTGTTTAATGGTGTCTGGCATGTGCAATCAAGAGTCCAAATACAACCAGGCAACACTGGTATCTGTAGGTTTCAAAGCTGCTTTGACAGCTTCCATCAGAATTTACTAAATACATACATTCACTTAAGAGGTAGTTCTCAAGGCCCTCCTAAGTGCCATGCACTGTGCTAAGCACCAGAAAGAGAGAGAAATGGTGGGTGACTCTTCCTCTCCCACATCCTGTACTTGGAAACAACAGTGAACCCCACACTGGGCCCCAAGAGTCAAGAATTAAAGTCTGCCCGACTCTGGGTAGGGTACCTCCTCTGGGCCTGTTTGTCCACCTTTAAAATGAAGGACCAGTAGTTTTAAAACTGTCATCAGGGGAACCCTAGTATTCCATAGGGGTGCTTGAGAATTAAGGGAAGGAGTGGGAGGGAAGGCTGAATGGCCCCTGAGCCCTCTTCTACTTGCTAACTTGGGCAAGCCTGCTTTTATGAACCGGCTTCTGTGTCCAATTTTTTTTTTTTTTTAACTGAAAGAATCCCTTTGCTGAAGAGAAAGCAACCAGATGGTCCCTGCAGTTCGACCTTCCAGTGTTGCTAGCGCTGTCTTCATTCAAAAATGGTAGCCTTTTGTCTTCCTCTCCTTCTCATCAAGGGCACTCACTAATAAAAGGTGAACTTTCTAACTCTGAGAAGACAAAATGGATCAAAAACTGGACAACTGGTTCCTAAATAGAGGGCCCCTTCATCAAAAATTGTTCCAAAGAGATCCAAGCAGGTTATTTAATCTTCATAATAAACAGTGAATAAAAAGGCATTGACACCATCAGAAGGATTCAAAGCAATTGTTTCTCCACTTAGCAAATATTAGTCAGAGGCCAAAAAAAATCTTTTATGTTACTGCAGAAAGCAGTGAGGTGATTTCTGCATCTTTCCTGTTTTATTAGGTAGTAGAGACTATAATTATTTTATTAGCAGGGAACCATGTTTGCATCTAGTGAGATAACTCAGGAGCTCCCAAACGGGAGATCTGGCTTGCTGATTCAGATCTGGGGTGGTGCTCCATCACTGTATTTTTTTAACAGCTCAGCAAGTGACCCAGCTACTCAGCCATGTTTGGAAATGGCAGCGCTTGTATTCTCAGTAGTCCTGAATATAACTTATTTTCTAGGTTTCTCTGCTGCACTTACAGAAATATTGCTCAGGGCTGTCTGCAAAGTATAGGATTGGGGAGCAGGGTTGTGTGTGTGGGGGATCTTGGGGATTTGGAAAATAACACCCCTGTCCTGCAGGAACATACCCAAAGTCCCAGGACAGTCCATTAAGGAGAAGCCCACAGTGTCTCCAACTAAGTCCTGAGCTTCTGAAGGGCAGACCTGGAGACCTGTGCTTAGGTCCACCCACAGGACCTTGACAGCCTAGGTATTGGCCATTAACTGCATGTCGTCCAAGCAGGAATTCACGGAGGTGCTCAAGTTGGCCCTGTAAGTGGGAGAATACAACCCCCTGCCATGTGATTAAGAGAGACAACAGGATTTTTATTATTATTATTATTTTATTTTCATATACAAAAAGATAAAACTTGAAACAGTTCTAGATTTTTCCTCCTATCTGTTGGGGTGTGGCTGCTTCTTCACACAGGGGGAAAAAAACTACATTCACATCGGTTTATTTGAGGACCCAGTGCAGAGTTCAAGCAGCAAAACCCCAACTTAGCAGATCTAATTCCAAACTTGACACTCATTTCTAAAATTACCACAGTAAAAAGGAACAAAGATCCACTGCAAATGAATGAACTATGATACAATGTTCTCTCCAAAATGTCTTCATTTTGCAACTGTAATTACATGGATGTCTGCTTTAGGCCATTTTAGATGTGTGCGGGTATATAATATATATATATATGTGTGTGTTTTATATATATATATATATATATATATATATATATATATATATATATATATAAATCAGCACACTTTTCAAATCCAGACAGGGTAACAGCAACAAGCTTAACTCTGTGTGTGTGTGTGTATATATATATATATTTTTTAAACATGATACTTTAGTATAACTTTTGTTAATTCAGTAGTACAATCTATTTCTGTTCTACAAAATTTTTATTTTATAGCTACAAGGGTGAAAAGTGACCTATTACATTTACATCTCACATATCCTGGCATACAAACAGTACTTACTGAATTTGAGCCAAAAACTGGAAGTCTTTAGTTTTAGCACTTGAAGAGCTTCTTCACTTCTACAGGCTTAAATCATATCCTAGTCACATTTCCAGAGTTTTCAAATGATTCATCATTGTAAACCGTGAGAAACAGGTGAATCCAAACTTTTAATTACAGTTTTATATACAAGTTAGATAACACAGCTCAAAAAGACTTTGCTATCCATCCTAAACCCAACACACACATTCTCCACTAAGTTATTAGACAAGTCTTAAGATTTTCCTTCTTTTCCTTACAAATAATACACACATTTAGAAGGAGCTGGTAAAACTGACATATAAGATGGCAAATGAGAGGTGACATCTGTTGGTTCCAGAATTGGTCCTGCAAATGTTGTACTCTGCTGTGTTCCTTAACTGTGTGTCTGTTACATGCAGAAGCTCTTTTCACAAGAATTGACATCAAACTCAATGTAAGTTAAATTTACAGTACTGTATGAAGTTCTTCAGATTCAAGGACAAATGTGGAAAAAATATTAACACGTGAAAAATTCGGCCTTTGATGCTACCATTAAGATCATGTCAAATTCATAAGCAGATTCTTTTGTACAGCTGAAAAACGGCATTGTGTGGATTTGTGGCGTGGAACTGAAATCTATAAGTATGTTTCTCATCTGCGGTAACCCTCACCCCCAATTCTCAAGTACCACCCAATTCTCTTTGCATTTTTACAGAATTCCAGGGGAAAAAAAAAAAAAGGGAGGAAAAAGACGCTGGCATTTTAACAACTCCTCCCCTCACAGGAGGTCCTCACACTCTCAGATGAGGTCTCCTAAGAATCTCTGTTACGGTCACTGGCTCTCAGATGGTGTTTGACAATGACTTGGACACTTTCCAAATCAAATCCCAGATGTTGCCTAACCTTTCCTACTCTCATCTCTGTCATTGCTGGTAAAATTTCGACGAGCGTGTTTTTCCCTTATGGAGAAATTATTTGGCTCAACATACACTGAACTCGTGGCAGGGCTCTGAGAAAACCCCAGCTGGGCTAAAGCCCTTGTAGAGACTGAAGTAAACAGCGCCTGAACAGAGTAGAGACCGAACACTTCGAGGGCTGAGTTGGGACCCAGTGGGTACACACTGACCCTGGTGTCCCACGGTCAGCAGGACAGGCCAGGTGGGCAGCCCACGCTCGTAGGGCTGAGTTACCACTTTAATGTTGGTCTGCCATCTATGCCCCAGCGACAAAGATTCAGATGTGGTGACTGCTGGTTAATTAAACTTTCTGAACTGGTAAAAAAGGCTCTTTAAAAAATATATAT